ATGCCCCCCCCGCCAGAATCAGCCCCGGGGACCCTCCCGTGCCCCCTATTGGCAGGGACAGCCCCAGGGACACCCCGGGGACCCCGGCAGGGTCCGCGTCCCCCCCGGCTGCAGGGTCTCCCTCTGGATCTCGATGACCTTCTCCAGGGTGGCCACCGCATTCACGTTTGGCTTCTGCTGCAGGAGGGACGGATCCAGGGGCTCCAGCTGGGGTGGGGAAACCATCAGGACCCCCAAACCTGCCACCAGCACCCCCAAACCCCCCCCCTCAAGAAGAGGGCCAGGACCAGAGGCCCCGCTCATCAACCCGGGGGAAACTGAGGCACACAGCACAGGGTGTGCACCCTGATACACCCCACACCCTGGGGGGGTCGGGGGGTAGCAAGGAGAGTCCCCACAGGTTGGGGGGTCCCCATGGGTGACCCCCGTACCTCCAGGCCGAGCAGAGCGGAGACGCAGGCCTCCGAGGCGTCGCAGATGGCCGTCAGGTCGTGCCCCCCCTCCAGCGCCAGCACCACCCGGCCACCCGCCAGCATCATCAGCTGCTTCGTCAAGTGGCCAAAACCTGGGGAACGCCGTGGGGGGGGTGACAAGCGGCTCGGCCAGGGTCCCCACCCTGGGGACGCCCCTGGACCTCACTCACATTTGGCGGTGACGGAGTAGCCACCGAGCGGGGAGAGGTGACCCTCGACGGCGTCGAAGCCGGCTGAGACCAACACGACGTCCGGGGAGAACTCGTTGGCGATGGGCATCACCACGGTCCTGGGGGGCAGAGGGTCAGGGCTGGGTGTGGGGACCACCCCAAGGGCATAGGGACCCACTCCCAGAACATGGGGACCCCCCCGAGGGTGCGGGGACCCCCCCAGGACCCCCACCTGAAGGCAGTGAGATACTCCACGTCCCCGATGGGGGGGTCGACGCCGCCGGTCCAGGCGATGTTGATGTTGTAGCCCACTCCCATCCCGCTGCCGACCTGGGCACAGCCATAGGTGACCCCCAACGCCGCAGCCGGGGGGGGCAGACGGACGGACACACGGGGTGACCCCCCACCTCCGCAGCCCCCCCATACCTCCTCGGGCGCCCCGCTGCCCGGGAAGAAATTGCCGTCGTCGTAGCGGTGGAGGGAGATGTAGAGGACGTCGGGGTCACTGTAGAAGGCTTGCTGGGTCCCGTTCCCGTGGTGGATGTCCTGCCGGGGGCACCAGCGGCGTCAGGGACCCCCCCCACCCATGCCATGGGGTCCCCGACACCTGGGGGGGTCCCCGTCCCCCTCCCCAGGGGCCCTTACCCAGTCCACGATGAGGATCCTGCCCACGCTGAGCTTCTGCTGGAGCAGTTTGGCCGAGATGGCCACCGAGTTGAAGAAGCAGAAGCCCCTGGGGCGATGGGGCAGGGTGAGCACCGGGGTGGCCCCGGGCACCCCCAGGTCGCCGCTGCCCCCCCCCCCCCCCGGGGGGGGGGCCCCGCCAGCACGACCCCGCGCTCACATGGCCGTGGACTCCTCCGCGTGGTGTCCCGGGGGGCGGATGACGGCGAAGCCGTTCTGCGGGGACAGAGAGGGACATGCGTGGCGCGTGCCCACGCGTGCACGAGGGCGGCGGTGCACACCCAGGCGAGCGTGCAGGGGAGCAGCACACGCACGAGCGTGCACAAGGGCTGCCATGCACACCTATGCAAGGATGCACAAGCGCGGTGCGCACACGTGCAAGCCCGCACACGTGCCATCATGTACACCTATGCAAGTGTGCACAAGCACAGGGCGCACACGCAAGCATGCATGAGGGCCGTCACGCACACCCAGGTGAGTGTGCGTGCAAGCACACACGTGCAAGTTTGCTTGAGGACCATCACACGCATGCAGGTAACCATGCACGAGAGCGGTGCACACACATGTGCAAGCTTGCACAGAGGCCATCACACCCCCAGGTAAGCATGCACAAGGTCACTGCACACATGCAAGCGTGCACAAGGGCCACCGTGCACACCCAGCGGAGTGTGCACGGTATCAGTGCACACATGCAAGCGTGCTTAAGGATCATCACACCCCCAGGTAAGTGCGTGCAAGAGCCATGCACACACACGTGCAAGCTTGCACAGGGGCCATCACGCATCCAGGTAAGCATGCGCGAGGACAGTGCACACACATGCAAGCGTGCATGGGGATCATCACACACCCAGATAAGTGTAGGTGATGTCAGTATGTACACACGTAAGCGTGCTTGAGCACCATCACGCACACGAGTGTGCACAAGAGTGGCGCACACACATGCAAGCTTGCACGGGGGCCATCACGCATCCAGGCAAGCATGAGCAAGGACAGTGCACACACGTGCAAGCACGCATGAGGGTGATCACACACCCAGGCAAGTGTGCAAGAAAACAGCAGGTGTGCACATGAGCTTGCACAAGGGCCATTGCACCCCCAGGTGAGCGTGCACGTGGGTGGTGCACATGCATGCAAGCCTGCCCAAGGGCTGCTCCCCAGGTAAGCGTGCACACACCAAGCACGCACCCCCCGAGCGTGCAGGTGGCCTGGGGGCCACGTGCAAGGATGCCCGCCGGCACACCAGCCCACCCCGCTCACCTTGATCTCCCCGGCGGCCACCTTGAAGGCGAGCTCCACCAGGCAGCCCACCGCCATGCGCACGGCACTGGACGAGTGCATCTCGTTCCACACCGTGTCACTGTCCACCTGCGGCGGAGGGGACACAGGGACACGTCAGCGGGGCCAGGCCAGCCCAGGGACACCCCTCCGTCACCACATACTCACCCCGATACCTCCGCACGGCAGCACCGCGTACATCTTCTGGCTGATGGGACCTGGCGGGGCAGAGAGTGCCGTGATGGGGGGAGCTGGCAGGGACAGCGTCCCCCCAACTCCAAAAGGGGACACCCAGGCATCCGGGTGTCCCCCCACCCCCAGCTGGCACCTACCCAGGAGCTTCTTGCTGTCGAGCTTCTGGCGGTTGAGGGGGCTGGTGCCGTAGAGCAGCGTGTGGTGCTCCGAGTGCACTGTCTGGATCTCCTCCAGCGTCGCCTTCCTGCCCCGGATGCGCTGGGGAGGGGGACACAGGGGTGAGCCCCCCCCAAGGCGAGGAGGGGACCCCGGGAGGCGGGGGGGCCTCACCTCGCACTTGCCGAGGAGGCCGGTCTCCTGCAGACGGGACCAGATGCTCTGGATGCGGCCGGCGTGCTCGGGGTGGATGTTGGTGTTCCCGCAGGTGCACTGGTGCTTCAGCATGAACGTGTCGTACACCACGCCTGCGCCGGGCAGCCACAGCGGCACGCCTGGGACCGGGACCCCCACGCCCCCGGGGACAGGGGGACCCCCCAGGCACCCTGAGGGACAGGGGACCCTGGGGGATAGGGGATTCCCACGGGACAGGAGCACCCTAAGGAATGGGGCACCCCATGGGACAAGGGCATCCCTGGCCCTACCAAGGGATGGGGCATCCTGGGGAGCAGGGGCACCCCTGGGCATGCTGAGGGATGGGGCACCCCAGGGACAGGGGCACCCCGTGGGACAGGGGCACCCCATGGTCCCACCAAGGGATGGGGCATCCTGGGGAGCAGGGGCACCCCTGGGCATGCTGAGGGACAAGGCACCCGGGGAATAGGGGCACCCCATGGGACAGGGGCACCCCATGGGACAAGGGCACCCCTGGCCCCACCAAGGGATGGGGCACCCCACAGGATAGCAGCCCCCCGCCCTGGGACACCCTCCCCCATACCTGTGGTGAAGAGGTGCTTGGGGGGCCCATCGGGCGCAGGGGGCTTGACGCCGGCGCTGGCAGGGGACGACTGGGTGCGGGCGAGGGCCGGGTGGGGCAGCGCCAGGATGCCCAGGGCGGGAGCGGGGTACAGCTGCAGCGGCGCCTCGGGGAACACCTGGGGGGGCCC